GGGTTTTAAGCCAAACTCCATGGTTTGAAAACCATAGAATAAGGGTTTTTCGGGGTTTTAAAGCCAAACCCATGATTTGAAACCATAGAATAAGGATTTTTCGGGGATCATTATGATTGAATTTAATATCTCGTTACTTTATCTTATTCCTTAGTATAGTTTAGTTTTTAGTTCTACATTAGTGCTGTACCACTTCCAACTTTACAATGTATTGCATTACCATCAAAATTGTGATTGAATTTAATTATCTCGTTACTTTATCTTATGTCCTAATATTTTTTAGTTTTTAGTTCTACATTAGTGATCAGTGCTGTACCACTTCCAACTTTACAATGTCTTGCATTACCGTCAAAATTCATGTTGAATTAATTTCATTCATAATTTTGCTTCACCTCACCATATTGAAAGCTTCATTCATATCTGAATGAATTAATTATTTGAATTAATTTCATTCATTATTTTGCTTCATCATATTGAAAGCTTCATACACACATGAGTATACGCGGTTGTCTGCCGGCAGGTCTGAAGCCTGAAGTGAAGCAGTCTTATCATATAGAAAGCTTCATTGACACATGAGTGTAAGCTGTTGTCTGCCGGCAGGTCTGAAGCCTGAAGTGAAGCAATCTTATGCCTAATTTCGTATATGAATATCAAATTCGGATTCGAATAATAAATTTGAATTTGGATTCGAATAATAAATTTTAATTCGGATTCAAATAATAAATTTGAATTTGAATAATATCAATTCGAATTTGAATATTAAATTCAAATATCAAATTTGAATTTGGATATTAAATTGGAACTTGAATTGAATATTCGAATTCGAATTTATTACATTTCCCAGTAAATGCACGTAAAAATATTTCACCTAATTTTTTTTAGCCGGCACGAAATGAAATTATTGTGTTGACAAGTGATTCTTGGCTGTAGAAAAGAAATTTGGATAAATTTATAGAAGAGTTAGGGAGTCATATTTAGAAGAGTTAGGGGGTTATATATTAGGGTTATATTTCTTTATTGTAATATCACACAGAGTTGCGCTAGGCAAGATGGCAGACTTCCTGAACACGTCGTGCATGACGAGCCTCAACTTCCTGCACGACACCGAGAACGGCTACCCCGACAGTGAGTACTCGAAAACCATAGAATAAGGGTTTTTCGGGGATTATTATGATTGAATTTAATATCTCGTTACTTTATCTTATGTCTTAATATAATTTAGTTTTTAGTTCTACATTAGTGATCATTGCTGTACCACTTCCAACTTTACAATGTCTTGCATTACCATCAAAATTCATGTTGAATTTACGTTGAATTAATTTCATTCATAATTTTGCTTCATCTCATCATATTGAAAGCTTCATTCATATCTGAATGACTTCATCATTTGAATTAATTTCATTCACTATTTTGCTCCATCATATAGAAAGCTTCATTGACACATGAGAGTGTATGTCTGCCGGCAGGTCTGAAGCCTGAAGTGAAGCAATCTTATCATATAGAAAGCTTCATACATATATGCGGTTGTCTGCCGGCAGGTCTGAAGCCTGAAGTGAAGCAGTACCTGAGCGGGCAGATGAGGGGCAGTCTGGCGTGGCGGCGCTCTGACCTCGTCAAGATGAGCTCCAGGTATTGTATTTATTATTGTATTATTTGTTATTATTGTGTTTATTATTATATTGTTTATTATTATATCCTTTGTTATTATTGTGTTTATTATTATATTGTTTGTTATTATATTCTTTGTTATTATATTGTTTCTTATTATATTGTTTATTAATATATTATTTGTTATTATTGTGTTTATTATTATATTATTTGTTATTATATTGTTTATTATATTATTTCGTTTGTTATGGTTCATTGCCAGGTATAGGTATATTTCTTCTATTGTGTTTAGTGTTATATTGTTTGTTATGGTTCATGGCGTTTGAAATTATGTATGGTAAAATTGACTTGTAGGTGAAAGTTTCGGTATTGTTGTGTTTTGAAATGGGGTCCGGTTTTTACAGGAAATTCACTAACAAATGTCTTCAGTATTAAGGGATAAATGTTTCACTAATAAATTGATTCTTGATCTCAATTCCTTCTCTCGAAACTATTTTGCATATATCTGAACTTATTTTTTCTCTTCTTTGCTCTATTCTGGTGACAATTTCTACTTATTTAGTCCTACTTACTATTGCTGGCACGCCAAAAACTTTATTTTTCTCGTAGCTTGAGCGCAGAATGATACAAAATAATTATAATCGAGTGATTGGTTGCTTATAGGAGCAACCAATCACTCGATCAGGAGTGATTGGGGAGCAAACAGGAGGTTGCTCCAATCAGGAGCAACCTATAATAATTGTATTATTATAGTCTATTCTTTGGAAACCCTGATCATATTCTGGGTATGTACTGCTTTGACTAACAATTTACTGGGCATATACTGCTTTGACTAACATTTTACTGGGAATGTACTGCTTTGACTAACAATTTACTGGGCANTTTAAAAAGTAATTTTTAAACGTATATTATTTGGTCCTGCTTACGATTGCTGGCACGCCAGAAAGTTATATTTTTATCGTAGCTTGAGTGTAAAATAACACAAAATAATGATAATCGAGTGATTGGTTGCTTAGGACAGTCGATATATAATGTCTAATACTGTTGACATTATTCACGGTTATGCAATTTTAGTACGAAATGGTGTTTTTTCTTTGGAAATGCTGTTCATATTCTGAGTATGTGTTGCTCTGACTAACCATTTACTGGGTATGTACTGCTCTGACTTTGCTGCTCTGACTAACTGTTTGCTGCTCTGACTAACCATCTACCGGTACTATAGCAGCAAGATGGAAAGCATCTCTGAGGAGGTGCCAGGAGATCCCAGGTACGTTGGCCGTTACCGTGAGCTATTATCTATCAAACGTTGTAGCGGTGTTCGTAAGCTCTATGAACATCTAATCATCTTTAATTAGGTTCATGTCTACCCTCAACTGATATAGTTTGAAAATTGAACTGTTCTTTGAGGATTCTCAGTATCTGGCAATGATCGAAACTTTCATGTAGAGTTTGTAAATATCTTCTTGTGCCATGTATATATTAAAGGGTTTACGACATCGTAACAATTCTTGAGTGTACTGTAAAATTGCTCGTCATGTTTGGTCGGTACACGACGTTTACTTTTGCTTTACCCTTTGGTGCCTTTAGCTTGTTTTTACCTATTAAATTAAGTGTCTCGGGAACGGCAATTTGATTGTGTTTTGTAAGCAACATAAATATGACAATTACCTTATATAAGATTAATAATATTTTGTATGTACCTTCAACAATTTCCTTCACTTACCAATTTACTACGCTTTTATCCTCTCCTGCAATATTTTTTCTAATATATCTTATTAGATGTTACCATTGCTCGACATTAGCCTCTAAAGCCGTTCATATATTAGAACAATATTTTTTTGTGACCTTTGCATTCAGACATGCAGATTTTTGGAATTTTGGGGTTGCGAATTGTTAAATTCATTTATTCTGAAATAATTTAGCGCTCTCTCTACTTTTTTGTGTCTATAGTTGCTAAATATTTTCTTCAATCTATTGAATCATCTATTTACCGACTGTATTTATCCGTGGGTATACATTTTCCATGCTTAGCATGAGTTACCGCAGCGGCATTTATTAACTTCTAGTAAGCTCTTGCTAACACAGCGAACTATGTTTTATTTCGCTATATTCTTTAGTTTCCAGTAAATAGCGCTTAGCTTCGAGATAACATTTGAACTAATTTCCATGTAATAAAAAACTGATTAATAGTTAGATTACGCATGGTTTGTACCGAATCATTCGCCCCTGAAGCCTTAACTGTTCATTAACATAAATAATTCTTGATCCCCCTTGGCATCGCATTTGTTTTCTTATTGTTTTCTGTGACTGAAGCGACTCGAGGACACCCTTGATCCCACCCTTGGTCCCACCCTCGAACCCGTGTACCGACTCCTGTCCCACACGCGGTCCACACGTCACACACAGAAAGGATGAACCAATCGAGAGGTGAGAACCGCAAGCAATGTCAACATGCTGAATGAACTGTCGACATGCTTAATGAACCGCGACATGCTTAATGAACCGCGACATGCTTAATAAACCACGTCCATTACTCGCTTGCGAACTCGTTTAAAAAGCCTAAACTCTTATATGGTATGTTGGTGGTATTCGTGCCAGTGAATGTGCATCGTATAATCCGTTCAATTGAAGGCTTTCCGCACCAATAGTCGAAAACTTTATTCATTGATTTCATTCAATTGCCCGCGTTCTACTTCTCGATGATATTTACCTGGAATAACTGCCTTCACTCCTAAATGACGGCATATTCATATTTGGTTGTCATATTCAATGAAGGGAAGTTCATCCTTATGTTAATTCGACAGTGCAAACTCGATGTGTTAGAACGTATTTCCCGAAGTAATCACACAAATGAGTTATTCACGGATAAATTTGTAAGCCGCTGACTGTGAGTAAAGAATTAGTTTACTAGATTTGTTTTTTTACGGTTCGTCATTTTCAGTTTTAAGTCACTGATCCCTATTTATGATATTGAAGGTATGTCTCATATTTATTTCATAGTATTTGCTTTATTAGTTTTTGTGGTTTGCTAGCTTGAGCGAAATCCCATTACTTGTTGAATTCAAAGTTTTTTGTGAATATCTGCATGCGTAACGTCTTTTGTTAGATTTCTACTAAAATTTCATCTAATTAGAACCTGTGCTTTGCTAAATACAAGCAGACGAAACCTTCGCTAACATTTCCCCTCACTTCGTTCCTAACTCGATCTTAATTAGCATTACTATATGTCGTTGAAAAATTTTTCTTCTAACATCATTCTGTTCATAAATTTGTTTTTTGCCTTAAATTCTAATTCTTGTATTTATCTTTGGTATCAAAGTTAATTTTACTGTTGATAGTTTGCTTTAAACTCTTATGTAACAAGGGCTGGACTATCAAAAAAAAAATGATTTTAACTCCTTCAGCCAATCACTGATGGCCGTTCAAGCTAAAGCCACCAATCACAGACGAGAAATTTCCACTACGTGTACTTAATTAGGCCCCTACGTGTACTTAGGCCGCTACTTGAACTTAACGAGTTTTGATGGAACGGCCCCTATTCATTTCAATTGACCTGCACACATTTTATAAGGCTTAATTTCACTGTGGTTATTTTCGTGCGCATTATTTGTACGGAAACTTATATATAGTCTATATTTTTAACACGAGGCCGTTGGTATACTGTGAGTAATTTGAATCTGTGTAATTTGAGTGATTACTCTGTGAGTAAATTACTCTGTGAGTAAATTACTCTGTGTGAGTAATTTGAATATGTGAGTAATTTGAATCTTTGTACTGTGAGTAATTTGAATTTTGAATTTTTGATTTGTTGAATCTGGTTTGGCCGTGCGTGCTTGACGTTGTCTTCTACTGTCACTACACTTTCCAACTATTTATAGATTGTGGATGCATCAATTATAAACATATATTCATGGTAATTTGACATTATTTGAAAAATAGTAATATTTAATGCAATGATACCATTTCAGTGCGCACCCTATTAATTATTCGTATGTGAATAATTATATTATATTCGTACACTTGTACGTCAGAGATCCTTGTGCGCAAAGGATAAACTAGTATTATAGATGCCAGAATTAGCTTGTTTTAACTAGGGCGGTTAATAACCATAAAATTCATTGATTTAAATTTCCACGATCGAACAATTTTCCAGATGACGTTGGTTGATTAAAATGCATGTTTTAAGAAGTAATTTTAATTTATTAACGACGCTTCGAATGTAACAACATTCATTTTCAAGTTATTGGAAGCACTGAATACAGAAATTTTGGTGGAAATAAATACATGATACACGTGAATATGATACAATACGAAAATTTGGAACCGTAGAAATAACTTTGAAACAATCTCAAAGTTCAGAAAATCCGGAAGTTGTGAGATGGAGAGATGGAGTCCAATCGGTAGAGATGAAGGCTTCAGCTATCGTCGGTCGGAGTATGTCGGACCACTGCAAGACGATGCTAGTTGGTTCCTCCAGCACAGTGCGAGTATCGGTCTCGTTGAGTTTGACGTTGCCAATTGTGTCTCGGAGCCTGTTGAATTCATTGCAGATATTGAGATGAAGTTGCTTGGCTGTAATACTTTGTGAGACCAGGTCTGGTTACGAACTTGTCTCATGTGGCAGGATAAACTACTGCATGTTGATTGATGTCACATTCGAAACGTCGTTAATAATTTGAAATCACCTTACTAAAACTTGCATTTTGATCGATCAACGTCGTCTGGAGAATTATTCGATCCAGAAAATTTAAACCAATGAATTCTATGGTCATCAACGCCCTAATTAGAAAGAGAAACTGTGCACAATAGAATTTCGTGTGCGTGAGAGTCTATCGTGTGCGAGAGAGTCTGCCGTGTGCGAGAGAGTCTATCGTGTGCGAGAGTCTGCCGTGTGCGAGAAAGTCTATCGTGTGCGAGAGAGTCTATCGTGTGCGAGAGAGTCTGCCGTGTGCGAGAGAGTCTATCGTGTGCGAGAGAGTCTGCCGTGTGCGAGAAAGTCTATCGTGTGCGAGAGAGTCTGTCGTGTGCGAGAGAGTCTATTGTGTGCGAGAGAGTCTATCGTGTGCGAGAGTCTGTCGTGTCCGAGAGAGTCTATCGTGTGCGAGAGAGTCTATCGTGTGCGAGAGAGTCTGTCGTGTGCGAGAGAGTCTGTCGTGTGCGAGATTGTTTAATGAAGAGATAATGTGGCAAACTGTACTGCCTCCAGGACAGAGTCTTTGCCTTCACTCCTCAGGTAAACCAGCCTGTTGTGTCCTTAATATTGTCTTGTTTAATGAAGAGAAATTTGTGCAAATCATAATGTGTTAATGGGGGGAAAACTTAGAAAAAATAGTGGAAAAGTAATTATTTCATCAATGCACGATGACAAATAACTTCTCCAGCAGCTACCTGCAATGCGCTGGCAGTTTTGTCTTCAGTTAAGTTTTTGTCTTTAGTCTGCTCTGAAGTCATGTTTTGGGTTTTCGAGATGACCGTGAAGAAAGAAAAACTTTTAATTACCTTGTCAGACTTTTTTTTTTAATTTTTCAATTCAGAATTCATTTTATATCATGCGTATCAAAGCTGAGCTTTTTAAGAATTTTGTTCTCGTCGAGAACTTTCTTTACACCTGGGGCTTACTATCAATAATATCAATGTACGACGTACGTAGGCCGTTACGTGTACATAGGAAGCTACGCGTAAATTGGCCGCTACATGTACGGTACTTAGGCATCTACGTGTACTTAGGCCGCTACGTGTACTTAGGCCGTTACGTATACATGGCAGCTACGTGTAAATAGGCCGCTACATGTATTTATTTCTCAATGTCTGTGTTGTTCCACTTTGTTACAATTTTGAAAACATGATTCTTCGTAGTTTATATCTGCTATAACTTTTGCAT